GACTCACCCAAACCACACAAACAGAACACATAGACCTGCCTAGTCTAAGCGTTGTCCTGAGATATTCTGAGATTTCCCCATTGTGATTTCTTTGTGTTGTCTCTTGTATGAACTGGACAGGATCGTAATATTCAATAATTTTTATTTTTTAATCAGCAAAGGAAGGTTGAGCAGAACGTTGCACGCCATCACCCTGTGTGTGGCATCATTTCTGAATTTGCAAACAACTGTCAGCACAGCCAGTTATTGTCAAAGTTCTCACTGGGAGGAACAAGTATTAAGCTTTCTCAGTCCAGGTTTTAAAAGTCTGTTAGACCCACATGGAATTCCAGACTTATCCATTGTTAGAATTTCCAAAATCCTATTCTTCTGCGTAGATAATCATCTGCAGTGTCTTTGAAAGCCTGTAGTGCCCTGATGTTTGAAAGTAGAAAGACAAGGCAGATACCTGTCCCTTGAACCTAGAACCCAGTGTGCCTGGTCAACTTGCTTTTTCCTTGCTTTTCTGTTTTAGGTTGTATGCAGAATTTTAAAAGCACTAACTTTTTGCAATACTTCTCTATATAAAAATTGTTAGAGGGAGGCCTCGTTGTTACAGCTTGTTTTTGAAGACAGAGAAAATCTAGTCTGGTAGGAGATGAAAGTATTAAACAGTATTCTGAAAATGACTGCTGGTGATTAAGGTAAGTACCTTGGCTTGATTTTGAAAAGATTTCAGGCTGGAGAAGATGAACCTATTTGAAACAGAATAAGAAATTTTAAAGAGGACGCCATATCCAAGTTCTTGATACTTTTGAGGAGTACCCCAAGAGAGACGCTGCAGTGGTGCTGGCGAGGGTTCAGTAGAGCTGTCAGACTTTATACTTCAGAGAGAGAGCTGTCGTGAAACCTCTTTCAGAGCATTCTCTGACCGGTAGCATGAAGGCATTTCTGCCCTTAAGCTCCTAGCAAGGTCTATTGACAGTAATTGTTGCTCTTCTCAGTACGATACACAATACAGATGGACAGAAATGGCTCTGATCCAAGAGAAGCTCTGAGATCCCAACCATAACATCCCCTCAGGAAAATATACTTGAATAGGCTTTCTCACAACAGGCCGCCTTTGCCAGCTTTGTGATTTTATTTATCCGGTGTTTGTATCAAGACTTCTTTGAAGAATTCTGTTGATAGCATTGGTAGCATAACACCTCTAAATGTGCAAGTGTGTGATTAAAATTTTCTAAGGAATGTTCAAGCTGCTAAATTTTGCCTATAATGCTAACACAGTGCGATGGTTCTGAACGTTCCTAATTAAGCTCTATATGTTTTATATTCCTTGCCGCTCTGCTGGGGTCCAGCAGAGTGGTATAAGGAAGGAGCTTGTAAAAAGCTCAGAAAATCTGCATCACTGGGGGAGTTATGATGGAAAAATGAGCATTTGAATATTTCTTACAGGGCATGGTAAGCATGGCTTGTAAAGGACCTTGAGGTACCTTGGTTTTGTCTTTCTAGACCATGTTTTTTGTTTTATAGATGACCTCATTATTGCATAAGTAGTCTTAATTTCCAGATTCAGTGTCATTGCTGAAACACTTGAATGAGGATATATGATAACATATCCATAAATCTACAATTTGTAGGGCTGAAAGGGATAGAAGAAATATACTTGTTCAAAATTGGTTTTCCAATTATAAAAGCATAGTCCCTAAAGCTGATGCAAATTGTTTCAAACTGGGTTAGAAAGGTCCTTTTCCTGTGTTTGTTATCATTTTCCACTAGACTGAACAGCCAGGGGAAGGTGATACTGCTCCAGAGTATGCTTTAAAACAGTATGTCAGACTAAAATACAAATTAATGCAAATGTGCTTGAGGGAAAAGACAAACTTGGGATTCCTTTTATTTCTCCTTTGCTATTAATCATCTTCCTTTACTGCTGCCTAGGAGGGCCTACGCTGGATTCATCTGACAGTGCGTGGCTGTGCAGCGTTCCGGAGCTTTCTTGTTTTTCAGTAACTGGTTTGCCAGCTTTCCTTACGGAAATAACATGGAAAGTGGAAGCATTTTCCAATGGTCCACTAACGTGTAAAAATAGTTCTGATCCCAGTGCAGAGCTCTGTGATACGTATCGTGTCAATCTGGGGCTTCTCAAGGCTAAAATCTGTAGCTCAGCATTAGTTTAGACACAAGCCCTCTAAGGGCTGAGCTATACTGAAGGCAAACAAAGACCAACAGAATGTGTGTCCTTTATTCCAATGGAAACTCTGTTATTAAACGCTCCCTTGCACTGTTTCCAATCCAAGAGCCCTCTGCTGATGATACTGCACAAGGAGAAATTCAATTAACTTGTCCATGTGAACAAAAGTTCGTCTGATCCATTTACTTGGATTTGAGCTGACAAATGCAAAAAGCAACCGATAAAGAATAATTGGTGAAAAGTAATTCAGGAACACAGTTCTGTAAGAAGAGGGAAACCCTTTTGATCCTTGCTACTGGAAGGGATGTTTATTTTGAATCAAACTTCAGCCACCTCAGAGAACCTCCAATACATTCCAGGATTCCTACATGCCTCACTGTACTACCAGTTAAGCCTGGGTCTGATTTTAACCAAGTGCAGGGGTAATTCTCCACCTTCATTCATTGGTAACATGCAAACACCCAGGGCACAGACTTCGCATAAGCTCCACACCACACTCTGTGAAAGGCAAACTATGCACAGCACTTAAACGTTCACGGGAAAAGGTAAATGCTTTTATGTAGTCTGCATAGAACAGCTCGAGCCTTAACCATACTTCCATAGCAAAGAGGGTTTTTAATGCTCTCTGCTCTCTATAAGAGGGAATGGTTTTAATATTCAGGCACCTTGGGAAACGAGTAGTTGCAGTCTTGGTTGAATAAGTGGACTGTTAGCAGCCATAAACATAAAAATTACTCATTTATAAAATAGCTCATGGTCTCTTAACTCAGACAGAGCATACTGAATGGCTTTGCACTAGTACAGAATTTGACTAACTGGGTAGGTAAGTTGCAAATAACATTAAAATATACAGATGTTGTATCAGCTCTTCAAACTTTTTTCAAATGTTTCATAGATTTTAATGGCTCCATCTGGGTCCCATAGCCACTATTATTGTTATAAGTTTTATTGTTCCCTTTCCCTCTGCCTGCTGTTTGCATTTGCAAGCTACTTACAAGTGTCCTGGAAACAACTCCTGAACCTTTCTCCAGAGTCTTTAAATTTGATATTGTGCATGTGAAAAATGCAGGGAAAGCACATTTTCTCAAATTTGCCTTGCTAAATATGATATGGTACAAATTAAAATAAATGTTGCATGCCCTGCTTTCCACATGATGTGCTGGTAATAAATTTCAATGGACGAGCAAGTGCATTTGCTGATTTCTCCAATTCTAGCACATCTATGCTGGTTATTTATGCCGTGCTATAGACTCCTGAAAGCTTGATTTGGCTAATAAGAGTCATAAAAAAATAATACAGCTGCTGCTTCTTCAGCGTCTTTGTCAGATATTCTTAAAGGAATATTGTCCATAGTGCAGAACAAGTCTTATAGGATAGTTGGATATTGTTTATGCTGTAAAAAGTAACTTCATAAAGGTTACTGTGATTTTGTAGACACTTTTAGAGGTCAACATTGTATCCAGTGGGATTCATAAGATTGTGTTTTCCAAGGTTAATTTACAATTATGCCCTAAGAAAAAAGTCATTGTGTTTTGCAGTGCAATTTTTTTTTCAAGTCTGGTATTTACTAACTGAGGGAAGCACTTGGCAAAACTTAGGTTGTAATACTGAGTTCACTGCAGTCAGCTTTCAAAATAAGGCCGACAGATGTCAAAGACATTTTGTGCCCAGCATCCATTAAATTTAATTGGAAGTTGAAAGCTGTATTCACTTAGTATCTTTAAAAATCTCATACCTCCTTCTGTATGAGACTTTCAGTAATGATCTTAGGTGCCTGGACCCCAGCTCAGGCTTTTAAATATACTGTGGGACCCACCTGTTCCCAAGTCAGGATATAGTTTCAAACTTCTATGCCATTATTCTTAAGATATTCAATAAAACTATGTCACAGATGGTAGATCCTATTAACGTAAAACTCTTTCTTGTCTCAACATATCCTGTTATGCCAGCAAAAAACAGTGTGATGAGGATATGAAACAGCCTTTATGTGCACATTTTCAGTTCCTGAAATTTCCCACAATGAATGCAAGGAAACTCTTGACATATTCCAATTTCCAGGGATTTAATAGTGGTCTGCATGCTGCACATTGAACATTCAGTGCAACACACACACAATTTCAATTCATCAGCACTGAGCTCTCATGAGTTCTGAAACTTCATACATCAAAATAAGCTCCTCTCCAGTGCGCAGGTTTCTGTTCCTTTCTCACATGTGCTAATTGCAGCCAGCTGTTAAATGTCTAGTCTTAGTGGCATCTGTAGGGCACTATTTATTTAAAATTAAAAAAAAAGTGGAAAAAAAGAAGGAAAGAAATACTCGCTTACGCAGTGAGGACCACAGTGTTGCATTAATCACAGCCACTGCTGGATAAGGCATTCCCTCTATAGGAATGCAAAATAAATGGATTGAAAAATATCATAGGTCAAGTAGAAAAATATTTCATCCTTTCACTGGAAGTAGGGTTTCTTGATAAGTATTCTTCAAAGAGAAAAATCCAATAAACAATCTATAGGGACTAGCTCCCTGAGCCTATATTTCTCTCTGCACCTCAACTACCCATTACTTTTGTACTACATTAACATTTTGTACTTATTACGCTATTCAGAAACTGTCATCAAGACTCACATCCCATTTTTGCCAACACGATGTGAAAATCAGGCCTTCTAAATTCACTAAAAATGTTTAACTATTAATTTTGTTTCAAGCAGCTGCCTGAATGACCTTGCACATAGCGTGCTTTAAAGGTATTGGTGGTTGTGGAAGGAAGGAATTCGGGCTTCTCATAGTGTGTGCCTGAAAATTGTCAATAGGTTATCTTTCTTTCAGGTGAAGGAGGCCATGCAGAGAATCCACGACCGAGGAAATATAGGAAAGCTAATTCTGGATGTGGAGAAAGCACCCACTCCCCTGGTGAGTGCAAAGCGCTACGCACATGGTATACAGCTGCACAAGTTAAAGCATGGTAGTGACCTTTGGAGAAATGTCCCTTACAATAATTTTTTTTTATACTGTTTTCTTCTAAATCCATAGCACTTAAACAGAACCAATAATCATCATTTATATTTTTAACCCAAAGTGAAATGCAATGGTAATTCCTAGAGTCCTGGCAGTTAATTTTCCATACTGAGTGGCTGTCTGCCTCTCCAGAAATGTGTCTGTAAGCCTTAGATCAGGGTAAAACTGCCACATCTATTTCTGCCCCTGTGATGGAAAACAAATAGACGTTTCACATAATAGAAAATTCCTGTATTAATAAGAATAAATGGATTGAACAGAAAAAGACACAGTCAATATTACTTCAGCGTACAAATGTAGAAGTGCTTTCTGATTGCCATACAGAAGTCACAGTGTACCTTCGGTAGGAATTTCTTTTACTTCTAATATATGAAGTACAATATCAAAATACTTCCTTCTAGAAATGTTCTGAAGGAAGACAGTTATGATGGAGCTCTCATCCACTGGATTTGGAGAACTTGATATGGTCCTGAAACATTACACAGGGCAGTGGTAAATGAAAGTCAGGCTCCTGCCTAAACATTCACTGGTGATGTAAGAAAGAGCAGTAAAAAGATAATGAAAAATTGACTTCAGATCAATACCGATGTATGAAGTTTGCTTTCAGACCTGAGATATCTCCTGTTCTGAAAGAACAGAAAAGAACCTGGAATTACAGTTAAGCTCTTACTTGCTCTTACTCTGAAATGGGCCCCAAATCTCACACAAAATTGCTGCAAGGAAAAGGAGGGCTTTTGGGACCTCACACACAGAAACTGGGCATTATTTTGTAGCTGAATTGCATGTTAAAACTATAAACAAGAATCTTGTACAACATTAATATATTTATTCCATCTGTTCTCTTGATATTGTATATTCACAATAGCCACTGACTAGAAGGTGAGAACAAACCTGATACACTTTCATGAACGGGTGTTAATTTAAAAATGTGGGTAATTCCAGAGCTTTGCTTTTCTCCATTAAAATCAGGTTGTGTTTGAGCTTTTTATTTCTATTTCCAGCAGAGGCTAGTAATCAAACTGGGAAGGTATACTGTCACTGCATTTCGCTTTAAAAAATAAACAGGTCCCTTCCTTAGTTGGTTTTGAAATAGTTATAGGCTAATACAAGAATCTTTTTGTGTCCTAAGAGAGGTAACGTTGGTGTATAAGAGAATCCAGTCATACTAATCTCTGCTGTTAAACACTACCAGCTGCCCAGTTAACCAGACTCTTGCTGTGCCTCCAGAGACAAGTGAAGCACAGGAGGGTCTTGCACCTTTACACTGCTTGTAATAAATACTTCTGTGTGGAAAAACACGATGTGCTCCTTAAATGCTATCCTGAACTACAAATTTCTGCAACTGCCTCCTACCTGTACAGGCATCTTCAATAAAATATGGAAATGCAGTTTCTCCCCACTCCTGTGCGATCCAAGATTTGCACTCTGTCCTGGGTATATTCTGCCAGCATCTGCATATCCACTGCTCTTTATATAAAGTTTCATTGTTATACAAAACCAGTTGCTCTCTGAGTTTTCATGACACTACGCCTCATGTGGGACCAGATCCCAGCCATTAGCTGGCGTTAAAGAATAGTGTTGCCTGTTTCTGGAAGAGCAGATGCAGGAGGAGTTGTAAACCAGAGGTCTCACACATTCTGTAAACTTCCCACACAGTCGTATTTCCTATCTGAGAGCCTTAATATCAGTCTGCTACAAGTGCACAGATCAGGCTCTGCTTGTGCAACTGGCCCACAAAGCAGCTTTCTCTTACATAATTCAGCTGTAAGCCGCGAGGGAACAGCGTACGGTTTTTAGCTGGAAGTGGCCTAGTGCCAACGAAAGTTTTGCGCAGACAGAATGTTTATTTTCCTGTTGCGACCATGTTGTCTTCCATTTTTAAAGTCACTTTCTCAAATGAATCAAACTGAAATACGAATGAATAAAACAACGTGGAAGGTGCTCTGACGTCCTTCATCTTTCATCCTGCAGATGGCCAACGACAGCACAGAGACAAGTGAGGCCGGAGAAGAGGAAGAAGACCATGAAGGGGACAACGAGAATAAAGAGCGCATGCCATTCATCCAGTAACAGCCAGAGATGGTGGAAGCAGAAAGATTGATGAAGTAGAAGGGAACAAGACTGGGAAATCTATTCTGTGCATCAGTGAACAAATGCTGTAGTACAGTGTGTGTTGTATTTGTCTGCAGTCAGCTGAGCTATGAGCTGTTGATCATTGTTGTTTTGAACTCGAGTGCCATTGTCATCCAGTGCAGTATTATGACATTCCTGTGTAATACCCAATTTCCCTGTAGGAGTCCCATGGATTTTTCTGTTGCGGTTTAAAAGCCTTATTAACTTACTGTGTAATTTTAGATGGGCATCTCTCTCATGCAAATTCCAACATTTTGCATAAAGTCATTTGGGGGGTTTGGGCTTTTTTTTGCAAGTTGGAAACAGTAACAAAAAAATTCCCCACTTGCTGTCTGGAAGATTCTAGTAACGGAGGGAGGATTTTAAGTTTGTGGATTTTCAGTGTTAAAATAGTTTTCCTTTTATGAACCACAGATAAAAGTTGCAAAAAAGATGAGTTTTCATTTTCCTCGGTCATGCTTTATGATTTTATAAGCAATCCGATCTTCATTTTCAAAAATACCTCATTTAGAATTGTGGAATCTGAAATTTTACAAGAAATCATTAATTGAGAGACTTTGATTAGTATTGTATAATCACATTAGTCATCAGCACCAGTAATTAAACACTTCATTCAGAGTGCCAACTATCATGCTTTCCTGTTGATCTGAGCTATCACCTGTATGTTACAGGCAAAGAAAAAGGTCAGCAAGCCACTCTTTGTAGACCTAGAACTTTAATTGCCTGTAGCAGTTAGCATTGTTATTGACAGATCAACATCTTCTGCTAAGGACACATTGACTCATCTGTGTCCAAAATCCAAAGCAATTTTAAATTTCATTTTTAAATTGTACCAGTAAGGATCACTCATCAGTATGTGGAAAGAAATTTGTTGACGGAGTTTCCTGCTCTGAAATTGCTAATGTGTTGATCAGCTGGGGCTGAACTCCTACAGAAGTTAACCCTGTTAAAAATGAGTTCTAGGCCTTAATCCCATCAGAAATTATACACAGGGATAACTTTACTTAGGTGAGTAGTTCCATCAAAAGCTCTGCTCCGTATGTACAGTTACGTTTGTAATTATTTGCAGGATCAAGTATTCAAAGACCAGCTAGTCTTATCTACCTCCCACTAGTGGACACTATATCTAAACATGACAAAAGCAAGTATTTTTTCCGTGTATTTCAACCTGTCCAAGCAGCAGCTACTCAGGTCCTCAACTGTCTTGTTAAAACAATTATTTTAAAATGACTGCAATCACCTACAGTAGAAATGCTAAAGGAATGTCAGAGACCTTGTATAACGCCATGTATCTTTGAACTAATATATTGTTTTCAAAAGAAAGTATTTCCCCAGGCATGGCTAGTTGTTCACCTAAATCTACAAGTATCCTGTAATGATAGAAGTTAAAAACTGATACAGAAAAGCAGAGAGGGAGGACTTCTCAGGCTTCAGTCAATGTGACAGGACTTGTGCGTCTGGATGACTTTTATGTGTGGTTTTAGAAGATTCTCTCTTGGTTTTTTCTGTTTGTTTCATCTTGCTGCCTGAGTATTAATGTCCATCTCTTTACACTGTACTCATGAAGTTGCTGTTCTAATACCAGATAATTGTGCAGAATGTTCATTCTGAAGGAGTTTCCCTTGGGTTAAACACATTCAAAAATAATGAGAAGACATAACCGTGGAGAAAAATGTCAAAAAAGCTCTTGAAGTATTAATCAAACCAGAACTTCAGTTTTCTCTAGATGTTGATGCATAACTTCACTACAGTTGATTTTCTTTTCAAGCTGAACTTGCCTACACTTCCAGTGCCATATCAGGCCCAAACAGGGACTTTATCCACAGAAAAAACCAAAATATATATTCAGTGAGAGTTTTCCATGTATTGGGCTTGCCAACTGAGCTTTTAAGAAAGGCCATTAAGTTTTCACAACTCATAAGCTGACAACGGTAGGAAACATGCCCAATTTTGTTTTGCAGTTAGTGTAATGATATTGTCCTGCAACAAACCTTAACATAACTAGGAATTTTGATTTGACGCCAAAGTGAGCAATATTGCTGGTGACCTTCGAGCTGGCAGTAAAGTGGCATTCTCAAGGCCTTAAATTAGTAGGGCAAGCAGAATAGCAAATCCGTTCTTCTGTTATAAACCGCAGTATGGTTGGCTCTACAGTTAAATTACCCTTCAAGACAAATAAAGATGGGTGATCTTGGTCATGGCCACAGACACCACAGGGGCAACAATCAAATGAAATAATTTTGGCTAGTTCTTTCTGGTTTTGTTAGCAAGGCAAAAATACTCTTCATGCTAATTCATACCAATTTTAGGGCCATTTTCTGATCAGCAGAATGTCAGGTATTTGCAGTGACCACGAAGGAATACTGGATCTTCCGAAGTGCAACACAGATGAGTATTACCATCAGCAAGCTAAACCCTACTCTGTGTTTTACTGGTATTAATATGGCATATACGAAGGTTACTACTGAAGTGAATGGAAAATTTTCAGGTGTCTGTTCTGGAAGCAGGATTTGTGCTAGCAGAATTTGGCCCACAAGCCCTAGGTACCTTTTAGAAGACCACAAACAGTAGTATTGCATCTGAAGTGGTAGAGGGCATGCTATAGAAAATGATGATGCTGAGACTTGCTACTGACCGAGTCTTATTGTAGCAGAAATGAAGGCTTGTGCTTACTACTGACAGTGTTGTTTAAACAACTCTAAGACAATTGGATAGTTTCTTCAAGTGAAACAAATTATTTCTCAATTTGCCTTAAAGGAACTGTGAAAGCTTCTCTTTAACTTAAGCCTGATTGAAGTGAACTGAAACACTGTTTAATTGTATTTGTTGCTTTAGAGCTTTTGTTATATTGTGCCTACAAAGCAAATTATGTTTACATAAAAATATAAATAAAATATTGAGCATAGCATTATCCTCGGCTTACATGTTTTATTCTAATATTATGGTCACATTAGGGAACTGACTTGGAATTGGTTAAGAGAAAAATTTGAGGTCTTATTTTCCATTTTGGTCACTGAGGGATATACAAAGAATTTTTTTTTATTACAGAGTACATTGAGGTTATTAAAATGGCTGAGTGTGCTACTTTACAGAACATTAACAATTTAGATATAAAATGTCTATATAGTCTAAGAAATTCAAAACATTATATAAGTACCATTCACGAGGTGTTCAGGGAAGTGTATTTTGATATGGATAGAAACTAGTTTCCAGAATTTTAGCACTCAGATTGCATTGGGAGATGGGTTGGCACTCAAGTTATCCTCAGAGAGACAGTTCCTTTCAGAAATGAAGATACTCTAAGAGAATAATCTTAAAATAGGATCCAAAACAGCTACCACCAAATTATCTAAAAGAAAGCAGAAGGACATGATTGAATCTAAAATCCCACTCTCCCTGGGTCTTAGTCTCAACTCAGGGCTGCAAGGAGGCTTATACCTTTTTTTTTTTCAAAGAAGTGATTACTGTTACCAAACCTTACAGGTCATCCCAAGCCTGTACTTGAGTACAGGGCTTTAAAGGTCTCCCTGCATGAAAGGAAGAAATGGTGAAATGAACTTCAGTTTAATTCCTAAACAAAGAGGAAATGTTAACTTTGGTTCATCCCAGTCGTGCAGGTCATGTTCTAGAGGCTGCAATGTCCCTGGAAAATCTCACTTCAGTAGTTACTGCATCTGCTCTAATCTAAAAGCTCATGTGAACACTTGCTGATTGTGAAGAGGAGCAGAGTAAATTTCTGCCCTCTGTTTTCAAGTCTTAATAAGCAAATAACGATCAGTGCATCCCTAATCACTGGGTCAGGATAAGGCTGAAAGCAAACAGGCATAGCCTTCTGCAAACTCTCTGTGATTACTAATAAAGCTCTGCCTTTTACCAGCTTTCCCGCTGGGCCATCTATACTTGACTGCCATACAGTCTAACACACAGAGGCTGCGACCAGGCCAGCAGGGATGCAGCAGGCTGCCTTTGTGTGGCATCGGGCCAGATAAAATGCAAAAATCATCCTAGGATACTGTGTATCCCTGAGTCTGGCCTCAGCCTCCATTTTGTGCTTCCCTGCGCATTTTCTGTGAGCTTGGGGATTAATCCTGGCCAGTTTTTGCCAGAAAAAATTCTTCTACTATGGCCACGATTGCCAGCACGTAACACACTTAAAACCTCCAGCTCCTAGAGAACTGTGCAGAAGTTTCTCCTGCTGGCAGCACCTAAGTCCCTTGGTGTGAGCTTCTGTTTCACTGCAGAAAGAGCCAAAACAACCAACAGAGCGTAATTGCGATCTGCATGTTGTGGTTTAACCCCAGCCAGCAATTAAGCCCCGCATAGCCGCTCACTCACTCCCCCCTGGTGGGATGGGGAAAAGAATCAGAAGAGCGAAAGTGAGAAAACTCATGAGTCGAGATAAAGACAGATTAATAGGGAAAGCAATAGCTGGGTACGTGAGCAAAGCAAAGCAAAACAAGGAATTCATTCCCTACTTCCCATGGGCAGGCAGGTGTTCAGCCATGCCCAGGAAAGCAGGGCTCCATCACACGTAACAGTTACGGGAAAATTATTGTTATCATAATAAAAGAATATACAATGTAAGTGATGCACAATGCAATTGCTCACTACCTGCTGACCGATGCCCAGCCAGTTCCTGAGCAGCGGGCCCCCAGCCAACTCCCCCCAGTTTCTATACTGAGCATGACATCATATGGTATGCAATACCCCTTGGACCAGTTGGGGTCAGGTGTCCTGGCTGTGCCCCCACCTAACCCAGCTTCTTGGGCACCTGGCAGAGCAGGGGAAGCTGAAAACGTCCTTGTCTTAGTGTAAGCACTGCTCAGCAGCAAATAAAACATCAGTGCGTTACCAATATTATTCTCATATGAAATACAAACTACAACACTATGCCAGCTGCTAGGAAGAAAATTAACTCTGTCCCAGCCGAAACCAGAGCACTGCATCAAGGCACCTTTTTCCCAAGTAATTTGTAACATCTAAGCAAACATCCTAATGTTCTCCTTTGAGAGAACAGGTTAGAGCATAAATGCAAACGTAGCTTTATCTCCTTAGTCTGAGCTGTCGTGCTGATTGATTGCACTTGCTTGATCCTAAGAGATTCCTTTCATGTTTACCTGGGCTATCTCTGCCAACTACTTCTGCAGCAAATGGTGTGTTTTTCTGAACATTGCCTCAATCTTTGCCATTTGTAGCAACGCTGTGTTGGGCACCTCACCACCAGGATGCTGTGCTGAAACTGGAAGGTGTTGTGAGAACAGTGCAGATGATGAAGAATTAGAGGACGAATGTATGAAGAGAAATTAATAGCGTATGTCTCTGCCCAAGAGCAACAAGTGAGTAGAAGTTGTAGCATCTCATCTGTTGATTCATTTGTACGCTTAAAAGGGAGGCTGCGGTTTGTTACAGGCACGGGGCTCAGCCACTGCCCAGACGGTTGCACTCCCGCATGGCAGCCTCGAAGGCCTTCTAGTCTTGTTCTTTTTTTACCACATCACTGGAAACCTGACTCACTTCAGGGGAAGTGTTCAGTGCTCAGAGTTCAGTTTAGCTCCTGTCTGTGTGAAGCCATGCAGGTTTATCAGGCTGCAGAACAGCCCATCAACACAGACCTCAAAGGTAAAGAGGGCAGCTGCACCATTGCTTCCTACCCCAGCCAGCCAGGCCTGAGCAAAGCCGAAAAAAGGGAAGGTTTTTACCCAATAAAGGGGTGCCTGACACCGACACCTCCTCGGAGCTACTCTAACAGCCCCCCACCTCTCACCAGGTTTGACATGGGGGTCCCAGCCTTTCTCTGCAGCATTTCTAGAGCCCCTGCAATACTCAATAATCCTTGTTCTCTGCTAGCACTTCAAGAAAATTAATTTTTTACCTCCTGAAGAATACTGGATCCTGTTCACTTTCATCCCCCACAGAGAGCGACAGACAAACTCTAGTGGGTTTAACACAGGTAGATTAACCCTTCACATACGGGAACCTTTCTTCTCTGTCACAGGCATTTGGGGCAAGATGAGGGAAAAAAAGTCCAGGAACAAGCACTGCCAGCCTTCATAGTGATTGGCATGTCACTTAAAAACTCAAACACCTGCCATCATATAAGACCAGCTTTTGTTTAGAATGGAACAGTCTTCACAACTGTTGGTAAAAGTTTTAAAACTGACTGAACTAAAACATAACCTAAAAAGACAAATGAAGACTCTAATCATGCAACTTCTGAACCCTCATGACATTTAATGCTTGGTACAGACACCACCAGACGAAGTTGCAAACCAGGCATCCAGGGATTAAATGAGTGGGCTAAGAGATGCCACTGGCGCTTTAGGAACAGTGGCTGCCAGCTATAAAAAGGGGAAGGGGGCTGTGTTTTGGGTAGATGGGGTCTGTGACTGAGGGAGAGCTGCAGGGGTGGGGGCTTGCTTGTTTTCCTTCTGAGATTAGGAGGGCTTGGACCTCTCTGGAAGTTTTTTATCTTTTTTTTCTTTGCTTAGGGACCATGCTGAGATGCTACAATTAGCCAGAAAGAACTAGGAAAAATAGTGGAGAAAAAAAAGCATTCTACTGTGAGGGCTGAGGGGCTGGGCAATAGGAGGTGAGTGCTTCTCTGGGGGCAGGTTTGCTCTTAGAGCTACAGCCATGAAGCACTTGTGCCACCCATGCCCACCGCTGCCGCAAGCTGCCGTCCCCACCAGGCACAGGGGCTCTCTGCTGGCCCTGGGTCCAGCTGCCATCGATCTGCCCCCTGCTACCTGCAGCCCTGCTGGAAGCAGCTCTGCTTCTGCAACCGCCACGACTGGAAATGTGCTACGTTCTGCCAGACATTAGGTGCCAAACA